GATAGACGGGCCAAATAAACCAATCAGATCAACGAAGCATATGACGTACTAACAGAGCGACGACGAAAACACAACCACAAGCCAGGCTACTCTTGCTGAAACCTGAGAAAAGCCTCCAGAGCAGTGTTTTGCTCTTCTTTCAGTGAAGAAATACTCTGTAATTTAAAACTTGCTCGATAGCCACGCTAACGCTAGTTTCATCGGCTGAAGCCGCCATGTTCTTTAGACTGAACTGTCGCGATTCTCGTTGCGTCGCACCTCAAACCGCCTCAAAGCCAACGCTGATTGGACGTTCGTTTGGTGAACGGCTCCAAATTTTCTTCAACGGAAAGTAGCCAGACTGATTAACGAGTGAAATCTTGGAAAGCTCGCGAGATCAGGATGGTCTCACGAGGCTAATAAGTAGGAGCTTCCCCAAACAGTTGCCTCTTTCCAGACAATCCTCTCTGTGCACGAACCATATGGTATTTAAACATAAAAAAAACCTGCGGCTTATAGTCCGAAAATTACGGTATCCCTTGGGATTAGTACTTCAGGCAAATTCTGGTTCTAGTAGCTCATAAAGAGTTAAAGCAAGATGTCATTAAAGATAAAAATACAGGTGTGAAGGTGGAGAAGCGGTTAGCGCGCACAACTCATGTACAGAAGCCTTAGTCCTGGACGCGGCCGACCCAGGGTTCGAATCCGACCTGTGGTCTCTCACACCCCCTTTCCTGTCAGCCTACTGAGAAAAAAAAATGAGCCACTTGTGCTGTAAAAACTAAAAAAAAAGATAAAAATACAAGCTGTAATGTCCTCCAATATGTTTTACTTGGATATAAAAATATCTGCACAGTAGAGAGCAAAGGGAAGACTACATAGTAGTTGACTTGGATTATTGCGCCTGTACTGCAGAGATGTAACGTATAAATGAGTAAAAAAAAAACTACTCAGGCTGCACAGTGGTTGGCATGTGTTATTGCAGTGGTCCCCAACCTTTTTTGCACCACGGACCGCTATATGTCAGACAATATTTTCACGGACCGGCCGGGGGTGGGGGGGCGGTGGTTGTGGTGATACGATCAAGTAAAATGATAAAATAAAATCAAATTCAAACAGCATAAAAATAAAACAACAAGCCGGTCCCATCTAGGCGTAATCTGAGAAAATGTCAGACGAAGGGCGTTTCTCAATTCACGTGCTTGCGTGCTCGCGTTCTCGTCAAGTCCGTTCTTGGCGAGAAC